CTTTCACCCCAGGCAATTACTATAGCTTGTCTTTCCGGGGCTGTCATATAAATGGAATCATAGAGAACATATAGTCTATTGAGCCTGGCTTCTTCCTCCCGGCCCGATGCCTTCGGGATGCATCGAAAATATTGAATGTATCAGTAGTCTGTTCTTTCTTATTACTGCACAGTGTTCCATTACACGGACGTTTGACAGTTTTTTACCCGCCCACTCACTGAAGGACCATTAGGGTCCTCTCCATAGGGTAGGCCCACAGCTGATCCTATTGGAGCAAGTTTGCGTCCTCAGGACCTGTGTCTGCAGCCCTGCAGATCCGGGCACTTCTGTTGCGGCTGCCAAGCCTCCCTCACCATGGGATTTCCCAGAGACCTGAGGGACTGGGGAAAAGAAAAACAAGTGATTTCCCTCATTCTCTGAGCACCGGGTCAGAGGACTTCCTGGAGCTCTCTCACTATGTTCCCACTTGTGGGTTGCCTTGAGTCTAGGCTGGGGATACCAGAGTGAAAATAGAAATTTAGCCCCGGCCAGATGGCTGTTGGTTGGAGCATCGACGCGTACACCAAAAGGTTGTGGGTTCGATTCCCGGTCAGGGCACATACCTAGGTCGTGGGTTTGAACCCTGGATCAGGTACGTACGGGAGGCAATGGATCGATGTCCTCTTTCACGTGGATGTCTCTCTCAAAAAAAAAACAGAAGAAGAAGAAGAAGATTTAGCTCCATTCAATGGTAACTGGAAGTCTGGGCTTCAGCGCACCTGCTTCTGTCTGCTTCCCGAGTCCTCGGTCGGGTGCAGAGGCTGGAGAGAGGGTGGTGTCCTTCCTCCCTCTATCTGGAACTGGAGCCCTCCGTTCTATTTCAAGCGGTAATCTTTATGAAGCCTTTTAAAATGCTGTGGAAAATAGTCACAAAATAGTTGCTCTTAAAAGGTGTCGGATATGCGAGAAACACGGTGGCGCTCACGCCAGCTGCTAGAGGGAGCCACTCCGGCCACGCGTCCTAACAGGTAGCCGCAGAAACCAAAATTCTTTTTTTAACAAAACAAACACTTCTCGCATTCCTCGTTTTGGGTTTAATATTCTGAGTAACCCGAGACTTGGGAAATTCAATGGCTGGCACAGCATTAGGACTCACAATGGACAAATGGGCCTTTGTCGTAGCTGGTTCACGGAATGCGTGGGGCCCTCCTGCTGCACGACGCCTCCCTCGCAGATGGGACAAGTTCAGCACATTCGTTTAACTGAATCGATGGGCAGGTGTCACATGCTGTTGTTCTCTTAAACAAAACTTAATTTTGTGCAGCTCATGATGGTCATTAAAGTGGCAGCTTTCCCCCGTAGGTGGGGATCGGCTGGGAGCAGCAGCGCCAGCTGTCTCCGTGGACATGTAATCTGGTGGCTGGATTCTTGGCCGAGGAGGCAAGAGAAATGGAGCCATTTATTTATCAAGGACAATCCCCTGTGTTTCCAAAGGGCTTTCCAACTATTGATATTTTCCTGCTCGCATTTCTGCATGGTGGAGTAGTGTCCTCATTTTAGAAGCCAGGAAACCGAAACACTCACTCACAGAAATATGCATTACCCATGAAGGAACGGGCTGAAAGGTCCCCTAACAGATAGATGCTGGCAGGGTCTCCCAGGAGCTTAGAGTGGGAACTTGGGTGAACCTCTAGTCCAATCACGGAAGGAATTTCTTCTCTACTTTTACTGAGGCATAGCTTATGCGTAATAAAATCCACCCATTTGATAAGTTTTGGCAATTGTCTACAGCTTTATAATCATCTCCAGAAACAAGACATAGGTTATTTTCATAACCTAAAGTCCCCTCTGCAGTCAGTCCCCTCCCCAACCCCCACCCCAGGGCACCCCCATCTGCTTCTATGTCTCTGCTTCCATAGGACTTTCACTCCAGGCCTCAATACAGTCTGCTTCCCACACCCTGGGGGCTCCCACCCACTTATCAGGCAGGCCCCTTCCCCTAGGAAGCGCCCTGAACCCCTCAGACCATGTCAGGTGACTCTCCTTAGGCCCCCGCCCCATCCCAGCTCCTGTCACAGGAAATTCTGGTGCCTACGACGAGTGTGTGTCCAGCTTACTGCCCATTACACCTGAAACCACTTTCATGATCAAATTTGATCTTCAAAGAAATTTTAAAGATGAGGAAACTGAGGCCAGAAGGATTGATTAACAAGCAGAAGGTACATCAGGTTAATGCACAAACAGGTCTGGAGTAAACATCTGGCTTCAAACCCCTCTCTCTTTCCCACCGCCCCACGGCTCAGTGAGTCTCTGAGAGGGAGCTGTGGTCCCGACCTTCATGCTGAGCTCCAGACCCATGTGTCTAGATGCCCCTTCCAAAGTCTTTCCCTTGGATGTCAGCACCCAGGCAACTGAAACTGTCCAGCACTGCTCGAGGCTCCCCTTGAGCCCTGCTCTGATGCTTCGCATCTTTGCAGAGGCACAGCCACTGGAGGCTCCACTGATACGCCCTCACCTTCATTCGCCAGCTGAGTTGACAGCCCCAGAATATGTTGTGAATCCGTCAGTTTTCATGAGCCTCCCCGTTCCCACCCTGGGCACTGCTTCTCCCTGGACATTTCCAATAGCCTCTAACTCCTTTCTCTCACCCTGCTGTCCCTGCTTCTGAACGGTCTGTGGGACCCACTGAGGACTGGGAGTTAGGCAGAGTTTCTTCATGTAAAACTGAGCATTCCTGAGTGTCTGACATGCACCATTCCATACACACACATGCACATATGCACCTCAAAGTGCTTGCTCTGGTGCATTAGAAACAGGGACCATTTTCTGTGACAAACCCCTTTAGTAACGGGCTTGAAAACATTCCAAAGTCTGCAGTCTGCCTCCTGCCGGTATGGCTGTCGGACCACAGGCAAGTTCTATAACCTTCATATGTCCGTCCCACCTATAAATGGGAAAGGCAATGTTCACTCACGGGGATGTTCGGATGAGTAAATGCATACAATGCCTGCACACACTACTGTTGATGAAAAGTTGAGAAGCCATTCTTCTGTGAGGAGGAAGGAAGGACAGAGGTATGTGCCAGGTGCCTGTGACCTGCCACACCTGTGGGGAGCTTCTGACGTTCACATCACTGGATCCTGTGACTGTTAATATTCCCACTACTGAGGGTCTGGTCAGGGTCTCCTTCAGGCAAATGACACTGATATCCTCAAGAGCCGCAGAGCATGTTCTACAAGGGTTCAAGGGTTTGGCTGATATTTTCTTTTTCAGGGGATGAACAATCAGTACGTCCGCCGGGAGGTCTTCTGCCGGAATACCTGTCACGAGCTCAAGCACTTCTGGGAAAGGGAAATAGGCAAACAGACTTACTACCGAGAATCAGAGGAACGTCGCCTGGGAAGAAGCGCACTGAGAAAGTATGTGGCTTGTTTGTCTATTTCTTATTAATTAATTTTTAAAAACAGACTTTATTTTTTAGAGCAAGTTCACACCAAAATTGAGCAGAAAGTAGAGAATTCCTACATACCCCTCCCTCCATGTGCAACCTCACCACTGTCAACAACCCCCACCACCAACATACATTGACACAGCATTAGTATCCTTGTGTGTCTATTTCTTTATCTAAAATTGATTTTCCCAGAAGAATGCCAGATGGGCATCTCAGAGGATGAAATTACTTTAATTTTCCATCCATACATTGCTGCCACCACCTGTAGTTTTAAAAAGTTCTTCTAAGTTAATAAATTATACTCTAATTTTTATCTTTATAAATGGAAAAAAAAATCTCTCCTCTCTATCACTAGTTCTAGTGCATGAGGGTTACACTAAATTTGGGGAGCATATATTTGGATATTGCTTTTTTATTCCATTTTAGAATCTTTGCACTTTAATTGGACTGTTAACATCATTAATATTAATGGTTTGTTTGGGCTTAAACCTACCATCTTGCTATTTGTTTTCTATTTCTCTCATCTTTCTCTATTCCCTTTCTTTTTCTGCCTTCCTTTGAATAAATTAAATATTTTTTATGATTCTATTTTATCTCCTCTGTTGCCTTTTAAACTATATTTCTTTGTGTTATTTTAGTGGTTGCTTTAGAATTTATACATGCATCCTGAACTTATCAATCACAGTCTACCATCAATGATACATCATTTCCTATAGAGTGTAAGAACCTTACAATAGTATAGTCTCTTTTCTCCCCTCCTGGCCTTCGTGCTATGGTACAAAGTACATTTTGACTTCCACATGTGTTATAAACCCCATGTTACATAATTAATAGTTTTGCTTTCAACCATTGATTATCTTTTAAAAAGGTTTAAATAGTAAGAAAAAGTTATTAATATGTACCCACACAGCTGCCTTTTCAGGTGCTTTTATTCCATTGTGATCCTGATTTCCATCTAGTGTCCTTTCCTTCTGCTTGAAGAGACTGCCTTTACCATGTGTTGTGACAGTCTGTCAGAGATGAATTCTCTCAGATTTTGCACATCTAAAAACCTCTATTTTTGAAAGATAGACTTGCTAGGTAAACAATTCTAGATTGACAGGGTTTTTTCCTTCGTACTTTAAAGATACTGCACTTTCAAAGGAAAGTTCAGAAGATTAAGATTAGAATATTTTGCACAGAAGTGAGAGTTATAATATGCGTATATAGTTAAATTTACAAATCTCCTGCATGCCTTTTACAACCTGAAAACACACACACACCTTCAGAAGAAATCAAAAAGAAGGAAGGAAGCTTTCCCTGAACCAACAGCCAAGGAGATGAATGCTCCCTTTGTGTGCACTTTGTTTCCATTTTCAGGCTAAGAGAAGAATGGAAGCAGAGACTGGAAACCAAGCTGAGGCTTCGGAACAACCCAGATGAGTCTGAAAAGCAGGCAAATGTTGACCGAGAGCTTCTTCCTTCACTGACACAAGAGGATACAAAGCACTGAGGTCGCTTTGCTGGGAGAAGTCAATGCACATGGCTGAGTCCCTTTGCTATGCCCAAAGGATATCATACTACTGTTTTCCCCTACCTGCAAGGGATTTACCTGCCAGTCCTTTCCCAGTGTTCAATGGAATTATCAGCCAAGCTCGTCCTCTCTGTGTGTCTCTAAAGATGTGATTATTTGATACCAAAGCTCCATGTGGCATCCTTTATTTCCATATAATTATCGTCTACTTTTGAAATCCAAATATTTTCAGTTCTAAGTATGCCAGGGGGATGATCTTCATGGCCATACTTGAAACATTGCACAGTAGTTTCGCTCCACATTTCCCACTTAGGAAGCAGTTTCATGTAATCCTTTCTCATTTTCTTTTTATGAGAAGAAAAATGCATCTTTCTGCAGAAATAAAAATATTGTAAATAGCCATTAAAGTAAGGTTTGCAAATAAATCAATCTAATGCTATTTTTTTCTTCATATGAAATTAATTTTGGCTTATTAAAAAACATGATTATCTAGGCCCATTCAATAAGATGGGGATAATTTTAATAAAACTTGGCTGCTTTGCCATCACTGCTGCTTATGCTCTTTGCTTTATTGCTTAAATTTAAATCTCCACATGCTTGCACTGGTTAGCTTCCTGTCAACTCAGCTAAAGTATATCAGGCCACCCCAACAAAGTGTTTGCCATACAGATTCTGAACTCTGAAATATCACCGCCACTTCCCAGACATCCCTCAGGTCCCCAGTACAGGGCTGCTGATTCTAAAAGCACAAACTGGAACTGGGCCTGGCGTAGCAGTTTCCAACCAGGGCAAAGGACCCGAGAGATGCATGTGGTAAAGCACAAGGCAGTTATAGGCCACACCTTCCATACACAGAGGTGATGTGACCGGGAGACACAGAGCAGGGGCAATTCTGAACAGTAGCAAGTGTGGCGTTCCAGTCCTCTAAATGCCCTGACGTGCCCATGAAGTGCTTCCATCCACATCTCCAGGGAGCCAAGAAGCCTTCATCGGGGTAATGGGAGCCACCAGGATGTCAGAAGTGCTGGGGGAGCATTTGCCCAGGTCCCATACTTCTATGACCCAAGGCACAGGGCTTGGAGTCCTCCCACCTGCTATGGTCTCTCATGCAATCTGGGGTTCAGATCCACTAATGAACTCCAAATTCCAGCGGGGTTGACTGGAGGCCATTTTGATGAAAGAGAAACTTTTGTTGGGTACAAGGGGAAAACAAAAATTGAACAGAGGGAGACGAAAGGACAGGACTCACCGGCTGGGAGGCTCTCAGAAGCCAAGGCCGGCCGTTGTGAACTGCAAGGCACTGCTGCTGGAAGCTAATGCAGGTGAAGGTTCTTTGTCATTCACTGATTCCCATTGGGCTCTGCAACCAGAACACAGCAGAGAAACCCAGAAGCGCTGGCTCTGGAGGCTTCGGTCTAGGGAAGATGGCAGAAAAGTCAAGGCAGTCAGTGTCAGGGACGTTAGCACTGGGAGCCACAGCAGGTAATGGGTCCCCTGGCATAGGGAGGGCTCCTTAAGAACAGGCTGGTTAAGCCCAAGTCATCATGATCCAGGTGAAGGTGAGATTCAGGGCCCCCGGGCCCTGGGTGCTCTGAGGAAAGACTGAAGCTAGAATGAGAGTGAGAAGAAGGGGTGGCAGGAGCTGAATCTGCAGGAATCAGCCCCCAGGGCTTGTAGGCTGAGGGGTGAAGCGTTTCTCAGGGCATAAGGAGGCACTGAGGGTGTTGGTCAGGGGAGTGCCATGATGTCCATGGTTCTGGAGGGTTGTCCCGTACCAAACGTGGGAGGACAGAGGTGGGAAGGCCAGCCCTCCAGGAGCTCCTGCAGATGCCTCCAGAGAGGCAAAGGCCTGCACTCAGGCACTCGTGGTGGCCTGGACAGGGAAGGAAAGGGAGAGAAGGGCGAGTGCCATTTTCTCACAGTACTGGAGGCTAGGAGTCCAGGGTCAAAATGCCAGCATGCTCAGTTTCTTGTCTTGTAGGTGGCCGCCTTCTCACCGTGTCCTCACAGGGCATGGGCGGGAGTGGGGTGGGGGGTGCCGTCTGACGTCTTTTCTTATAAAGGCATTAATCCCATCACGAGGGCCCCACCCTCATGACCTCAGCTAAACCCAATTACCTCCCGAAGGCTTCACCTCCAAATGCTATCACATTAGGATTTAGGGCTTCAACAGAGGAATTTGGGGGGCGGAGGGGAGTATACAATTCAATCCATAGCAGAATGGGGATACTTTAAATCTGTGTATCAAGTTCATGACACATCCATTTATAAAACTGACCGGGTCAACACAGCAAACGAGACCTGTGGAATACGGCCCAAGTTTCACCTTCACCTCTGGGCAGCCCACTAGCGGCAGACCATGAAGCACTGCAAAGGACTGAGAAGTGACTGACACTTAAAGCATAGCCCCCAAACTCATGCCAGGACATGCATTCTTAACATGAAGCGATGGCCTGCCTGCTAAAATGGGTATGTAAAAAGGAGAGAGTTTCATAACCGTGTACTCAAAATGCCCAGGGTACAGTCCAAAATTACTCAAACCAAGAGCCAAGAAAACCTCAACTCAAATGGGAAATACAATCAACAGCCGTAGATGTCGGAATTACCCGACAAGGATTTTCAGGCAGTTATGCCAACGCTCCAATAAGCGACTGCAAGCACTCCTTAAGCACATTTAAATTTTCCTTAAAAAAATCTCAGCAAAGAAATAGTTATAAAGAAGAACCCAATGGAAATTTTAGAAATGAAAGATACAATGACCAAAGTAAACAAACAATAAAAATAATACTGGATGAGCTCAACAGCAGAAAGGACAATACAGAAAAGAGCATCAATAAATTGCAGAGTTAATAAAATTGTGTAATTTGAAAAACAAAGAGAAAATAGTTTTCTATTGATTTTCAAGAAGAAGGGAGGGAGAGAGAGACATTGATTTTTTGTGCAGCTTATTTATGCATTATTGATTGATTCTTGTATGTGCCCTGACCGGGGATCAAACCCACAACCTTGGCATGTCGGGACTAATCTCTGGAAGGGCTGTCGAGATAAAGCACCTACTGGGTTGGAGGCCAGCTTCAGGAGGACTTGAGAAATGCAATGGGAGAAACCACTAGAGGACGGTCCCAGCCACGTGGGCTGGCGGTGGGCAGGGGTAAGATAAGATGGGGCAGGGCCAGGAAGACCCAGGACCCACGTCCTGGGGCTCAGAAACCCTGGCTGCTTTGGCATCCGGTCCAGCCCCCGGGGGCCTGGAACAACATTTATGACATGTTATGAGACACAAAACGTATCTGTTGAATGAATGAATAGAGGGTTTCCCTATAGCACAAGCACATTGCTTTATGAGAAACTCCCAAATAATAGCCCATTCATAGCAGGGCCGAGACAATAAATGTCTTTGGAGGCTTATTTCCTCCCCTGTTTAGCAGAGAGCCTGCCCGGCTTGAGTTGGTCAACACAAAACAGACTGATGCCAGCCTTCTCCTCTTCACAAGGCCACTTCCTGACCAGGAAGCTTTCGGTATTTCACAATTGTCCAAATGTTTCCATTTGGCCTATAAAATGAAGGGCGCAACAGGGGTGTGGTGCTTCTGGAAGCCTCCCATGGTGTGCCCAGGGCAGTGGTGCCAGGCCCGAGCCCACCTCCGGTGCGCCCCCTGGCTCCCCTGCTTGTGGCTTTTTCCTAATAAACATAACTGTACATTTATACCGAGTGGCTTTAGTGACCGGTGGCCCATGCCCCAAGGCCATGATCCTCTCAGCCCCAGGGGCTGGCTTGGAGGACAGCTCCCACGTCTACGGAGGGCCTTGGAACAGGAAGAGGGACGGATACAAAACTGCAGAGAGTAAACCCCACCAAGGAGAGACAGAGAATCGTTTTCTGGAAAAACTCTTGCCCAGGGTATAAAAGTCGCTCTTGTTCGGACTCATCTGACTGACAGAGGCGAACCAAAATCATTTAGCTGACGCGCAGCATTTAACAAAGCCGACGGCAAACAGGGCTCCAAGCCGCAGATGAAGCCCCCTGCGGTATGGACCGTAGCCGCACCCCCAGGGTCCTGGATCCAGCCAGCCGCGGAAACGCTCTCAGCCACCAGGGGCCCCACCTTAGAAAGCCAGGCGGCCTTCTCCGGCCTCCGGGATTAATCCGGGTGCAGCAGAAGGTACTAGCAATCGCGGACTCCACCTTGGCCGCAGGGAGGGGGTCTGGGGAGATTTGCCACCCTTAACAGTCCTGGCCAGGGGGCTGAGGCTGCCCTGGATGTTGCCCAGAGCCCAGGTGGTGTCATTGATCACTTCAGCTAAAATCAGGGACAAATGTCATATCACCTTTTCTGACTGGATGACTCCCGTTGTAGGGAAATGCCCTCAGGGTTTCGTACATAATCTGAGTAATCAAAGGTAGTTGCATTTTGAGATGGGAGTTGTCTGAGGGCCACAGGGTCACTGGTGATCTCTGTAACAACAACCCTAAGGTACAAGGCACTTGGTCTAGGTCCTTTCAACAAGCAACAAAAATACCTCAGTGTGACTGATAGGACTGGGGCCGAGTTCAGGTGAGCACCAGCAGTGTGCAAATGCAGAACTGGGATTGTGTTTCACGCTTGTCCTATAGCTGCTCGTGAGGTGTCAGGGGAGGTGGCACTGTTCAGAGCACGGCCACATGGGACAAGGTGCCTACTGGTGGGACAAACCTGCCAGGTGACACCAGAACCCAGCGCCTCCAGCCAGTGATGAGCCAGGTTCTCACTCTACAGGAGTCTTTGTGCGACGTCAGCTGCCTGTCTCAACAGCCTGACATCGCCACACCCCTGCCGGCAGATGTCCCCCGACAAAACCCAGCGGCAGGTTCCCAGTGCTCCGGGCCTCTGGCAGTCAAGAAAAGAACTGCTGTCCCTCGCAAGGCAGAGGAACGGTGTCTCTGACGCAGGAGCCAGCTTGTCTTACAGGGAAAAAAGGCCACACCCCACGGGGCTCCGGCCTTTGTTCTGTATCAGACCTTTGACCCCACCTACCCCCTGGGGACAAGGTGCTGCTTCACCACTGCTAAGACTTTTTCCTGTTACAAGGGGGCTGTTTCAGTCCAACCAGAGGACTCTCCCCTGCTGTGGCCCTGAAGCTAGTCTGTGCTCCGTGTCATTCAGTGGACAGGGCGCGCTCAGGGAGCTGACCCTGCCGGATGCGCTGCGGAGATGGGGGTGTCGAGTACGAGGAACACTTCTCCGGGCTGTGAGGGATGCCCCCACTGGGGAAGGCCGTGGTTCGGACAGTGGCCGTGGGACAAGCACACAGCTGGGGGCCCTGCTGCGTGGACGCAGTAACGCAGTATAGACGAAAGGGGGGATGGGGAGAGACCACCGCACACCAGCCACAGCCGCAGAAGCAGGCGTGCTGGAGGAAACCACCCAGCAGGCGGCAGGAAGCACCCTCCAGCTCAGGCCAGGGGGTTCTAGGGAGCCTTTAAAATGACAAGTGTCAGTGACTGACCATCATACAGACTGGAGTCTGTGGCAGAAGGATGCTGACACCCAGCCAAGGCGCCCCCTGCTGTTTTGATTGTGGCAATTGCCCGACAGACACCGTGCCCTTGCCCCCTTCGGGACACCATCTTCACCGACCACAACTGGGTTGTGGTTGAGGCTGTAGCCTGGCCACCACAGGGCATTTCCTGCATCAGGAGCTTAGTGTCCCGTAGCAGATCGTGGAGATGTCGTGCCAGACTGGCATCTTCGCTGTCAGGCATGGGCAAGGCCCCGAGAGAGGGCGGGTGGAAGGTCCCGGTGAAACTGAACCCCGTGAGGGCACCCTGGTCCTGGAGGCAGCAGTGAGTGTGCAGGGCAGAGAGAGGCTACAGAGTCTCACCTGCTCAGGGCTGCCTCCAAGCAAGCCTGCTCGCACGGGGCAAGCACTAGCTCGCAGAGGGTTAAAATACCGGCGAGCTGCCTAGTCCTGGGTAAGAGTGAACACCCACAGCACCCTCACTTCATCAGCTCAGCCCCCTTCCAGGGATCTTTGTGGGGACGTCACAGGGGTTTCTGGCAAAAGCAGAGTTGCTTCATCCGACCCCCTTCCTCCGAGCTGCCACTCAGTGAAACCAGTTAGAGAAAGCGTCACCCCCTCCCTTCCCCCGCAGGCAGCAGCGCAGGGAGGCACCTGGCCTCTCGCTCACTGCCCCACAGCATCTCAGAAGGTCCATGGGTGACCCCAGCCCCCACCCCCACCCCGAGGCTCCCGCAGGGGATTCAGCCTTCATCTCGGGTGTGCTGGGCTTTCTCAGAGCCCCCTTCAGCCCCCCTCACAGGCTGAGGTCTGTGCTTCATGTACGAAAAGCACCCCTGAGCCAAAAACGGTGATCCAGCTAGCTTCCGTCCAGGGTAGAGCGCAGGGGGGGGGGGCCCACCCTCTCCCCACGCTCCAGCCCAGAGCAGAGCTGAGAGAGAGGCGGGTCCCCAGGACACCACTCGTGGGGAAAAGGCTGGTAAGCAGCTTGGAGCCTCTGCCCAGGTGCAGGGCAACGGGGGACGACACCGACAGTGACATGAGAGTTTCAATTACAGCCACGGACTTTCAGAAGGACTCCAGCAAGATGGGTGAAAGATTCCTTTACAGACAATTGAGTTCATTTTACAGATGGCAACATTGAGGCTCAATGACTTGGGAGCAAGGCTCAGGCAAGGAGAAGCCAGTGGCTCCTCACCCCCAGCCTGCGAGCTACTGGACGTCAAGGTCATCAGAGACGGGTCTAGTGGCACAGGAAGGAAAACCACCAGTTCTGGGCCACCCCTCACCCCCATCCCAGTTAGGGCTGCAGTGGCATCTCCCTTCGAGAGACTCATCTTCTCCAGGAGTCGCCTGCAAGGGGCCATCCTGCCCTCTGCACATGGGCCATGAGGGCCAGGCCATGCTCGCTGCACGGCAAGTCCGCAGCGGCCCTTCCCAGCTCCATGGCCTGTCCAGGAGAGGCCGGGCTACCGGAACTCCCTGGAGTCCCGACAGCTGAGCAGCCGATGCATGTCGTTCCTCTGGATGTGCTCGTAACAGGACTGGAGGGAGAGAGTGGGGCTGAGGACACTGCCCTGCTGGCTCCCAGCCACCTGCACAGGCTTTGGGCCGGGTACCAGATGCACCCACCACCGGGGCCTGGACCACCGTGTCTGCAAGGAGCCCTCCCACAGTCTGCAAAGAAATAGGGCCTTCCCCTCCCGTGGTGCTCGGGGGTGCAGTCTAGACCACGTGCATGGCCCTCGGGTTCCTAGGGTGGGTATGCACAGTGGGCTGTCCCCCAGCCCGTTAACAAGGGCAGGACCAGGGGCTCCGTGTGGACCCTCCCATGGAGGCACACAAGTTGTGAATGAATGTGAGCTCATCCCCAGGCCTGCCCAGTGCCCGGGGCATTTCTGTCCCTCACCTCAAGGGCCGTGAGCAGGAAGTCATATAGGCCGCCCGTGTGGATGGGGTACATCATGTCACGAATCAGGTGGATCTCGGCTCCCAGGTGCTGGATCCTAGAGAACAGCCACCCCCAGTGAGGGGGAGAAGGGGGCCCATCAGGGACAGCACCAAGCAGCTGGGGAAGAAGCCCTGGCCTGGGAGGCTGGACACCTAGAGTGACGTCCCCAATCTGCTTCTGACACCCACGGGACCCGGGGGGGGCACACGGGGACCCTCTTCTCTCTGGGCCTCAGCGTGCCCATCTGTACTAAGAAAAGCAGTGTCCATAAACCCTGAAGTTCAAAGACTTTGCTGTTCCGAGTTTGGCCGGGGGAAGGGCCAGGGGGAAAGGAGCCAGCTCCCCGCCGGGCCGCAGCTCACTGGGCACGGGACACCACATAGATGAGCAGCGGCAGCAGGTCGTCCATGGGCAGCTTTTGCTCCTGGCCCAGCACCCGAGACACAGTGGCCTCAATCTCTTCGTACGTCCTCTCCAGGGCCTCCAGCTTTTCCCGAGGGTCCATCGTGGTGCTGCAGTGGGGCGGCAGGCTCCTCGGGGTCAGTCCCAACAGGGGCCCCAGAACTCCTGCCTCCCACCCCCACCCTGCCCAGGGCGCAGACTCACATGATCTTCTGCAGACACTCCGTAGCTGACAGGAAGCACTTGTCCCTGACCACGGAGTGTCTCTGTGCGGCAAGGGGAGCAGGGTGGTGAGGCCACAGTTCCCCCAGCTCTGTCATGACCTCCTCCTCCCTGGCCACCCACCCCATCCCCATTAGTGGTTTCAGCACAGCCCTGGTCAGAGGGCTGAGTGACCCAGGGCAAGTGACAGCTTCACTGTGAGCCTTGATTTACTCGACGGTGAAGTGCGGTAAATGGCCAGCAGAAGGCTGAAGGGTCAAATTGGATACAGAAGGTGATCATCATAACAGCCAACGGTCACGGCTGCCACCCAGGCTGGTGCCTACGTCGATGGCTCGCGAACCTAAGAACTTGGTGAAACGCCAATTCCTGGCCTCCCTGAGTTTCCGGCTCAGTAGGTCTGGGGTGGGTCTGAGAATCTGCTTTCCTAACAGCTTCTCAGCAACTGCTGATGCTGCTGGCCCAGCAATGCCTGGGGATGCCAGCCCACTGCCCCCCACAGCTAGCACTGCAACAGATGGGGAAACTGAGGCACAGAGTTCAAATACTGTGCCCATGGTGGCAAAACCAGTAGAAAGGGGGAGCCTGTGTTTGAGCCTGGTCACTGTGGGCCATCGGCTACACCCTCGCCCACACAGAAATCAGAACTTGGGAAACCTGGTGTTTCCACCCTCCCCCATCTCTGCCCGTCCCCCATCCTCTGCAGCCTCTGACCAGCAACACGAGGCAGAAGGCCACGTGGAAGCCTGAGTGAATCTGGGGTCCAGCTCAGGGCTCGGGCCTCCCTGTCCCTGGGGCAGGTAAAGGGCCTACTTTCTCACCTGATTGGTGGTCAGTGTGAGGTCCTTGAGGGGCCACAGGTGCCTGAATTTTAAAAAATGAAACAGAAGGCTTTGCCAAGAGGAGGGGACAGGGTCTGAGGTCAGAGGGCAAATCCCCTGTGCCACCATGTCCCCCAGCAGGGTTGAGTGCAGGAAATGGTCCAAAATGGCATCCCAGAGCACGTGTGTGAAGCCCAAGGCAAGGGGAGGCTGAGAGGGACTCCTGGAGAAGGGGGGCCTCCATCGGGCCTCAAAACATGATGGTGAATCGACATGCAGAGGAGGTGTGGGAGAGAGGCGCCTGGGAAGCCGTTGGCCACCAAGGGTCTGGGCTGGTGGCTGGTCAGTTGCAGGAAATATTCACCACAATGGAGGGGAAACAGGGTTTTAGGGGGTGGGTGGGAAACACCATCATTGAGTACCAAAGAGCAGGTGTAGGAGCAGAGTGTCCATGCCCTTGTCACTCATGGTATCAAGTGATCAGAAGAAATGCTAAGGAGAAAAGATACTGTGGCAACTGAGGGTAGAAGAGAGGCCCTGATCTGCCCCTTGAATGGTTCTCGGTTTCCCCTTGAGGCTCTCCCCTCCCCTACTCTCAGTCCAAGAGCCAGGAGCAGGTGACCTTGCCCCAGCCCCAGTAGTAGATACTGAGGCAGGCCTGGCCACTCTGGGCTACAGCCAGCATTCAGGGAGCACTCAAGACCCAAGCCAAGACAGTGAGGCACTTCAGGGCTCTGCGGGAGCTGCCGGGAAGGAGACACCAGCTCCCTGTGGAGACTGTGGGGGGACTGAGCTGGGAGAGTATAAGCCTTGAGTGGCTGGTGCCCTGCTTGTCTCCATAAGGGGGAGCCAGAGACAGACCAACAGAGAGAGGGGAGGGAGGAAGTTGCTTCCCTTTATCATACAGTTGAGCGCCTAGATCCAGCCACACCTGAATCCAGCTACGTGAGCATAACCCTAGAACTTCATGGGTACATGGCCAATTAATGCCCCCCCCTTTTTTACTAAAGAAAACGTGACTTGAGTTTGTATCCTCCTGGCAAACGTGGTGTGCGGGGGAGGCTTACTTCTGCACATCCAAGAACTCAAGCAGCTTGGTGTCAGGGAAGAGGCTCAGGTTGGTGATGCCCTGGTTGTACAGTCTGTCCTCTGTCTCGTGAAGAAGCAGGTAGAGAGTGAAGAGCTCCACGTAGAAGCTGGGCAGCACGAGAGGCAGCACCAATCCATGCACCTGCAGGTTCCTGAGTGACAGCAACCAGGATGGGTTGGGGTCAGCAGGGTGGGAGTCTGGGGGGGCAGTGATGGCTCCTTGAGCTGCCCTCCAATGAGCCCATATTGCTCCTCAACCCACAACAGTGGCACATTAACTCCCACCCTGGAACAGAGGTCGCGGGTCATCATCTCTGCTCATGGAGCAGAGGTCATGGGTCATTCTGATCCTTGAATGCTCAATGAACAATGCTTGGTCAACAGCCGTAACTCCCAACACTTGCCCAGAAGTGTCCCTTTCCCAAAAGGAGGCCCCAGGAGCAAAGGTGTGAGGCCTCCCTGGACCCAATCCTGACTGCCCCGGGGTGAGAGGACCCCACAGACCCCATGGGGGCCTGGGGCAGCCACCTTGTCTCTGCATCTTCCTCTTCCTCAGGGGCCTGGCCCTTGCGCCGTAAGGCAACCTGCAGCAGACCCCTGCAAGACAACAGAAGGGGACAGGGTAGCTGCCACCTCCCACGAACTAGAGCTCCACCTGCTGGTCACCAAAGGCAGGTGGGTCCAACCCCCAGAACGGTGGAGCATGAGCTGCACACCCAGCCTCCCAACCCTCAGCAGTTAGCGTGGGAGGACAGGATGCCAGGCAGAGTCCTGAACCCGCAACAGAGGGCACCGCAGTGGCCAGGGCCCCCTCTGTGATGATTCACGGGAGCACAGCTCAGCCAGGACTGGAGATGGGGCCTGAGTCTGGGCTCAGGCTCAGCTTTCAGTGGGGTTAGAGTTCCCCCGGGGTCAGGGGTCAACCCAGGGCCTGATCGGGCCCTGCCATCATCTCCCCACCCTCTGCTCACCAGCTGCACACTGACCAACCCACCCTCTGGTTCTTTCTCCACCCAGACCCGAGGGAGAAGCACCATTCCTGCCCAGGTTCCAGGCAGAGCCAATGCTCAGAAAGGGTCACAGGGCAGTGGCGGTCCACCTGTGCCACCGAGCTCACCTGTAGGCGGCCCAGAGTTCCTTCGCGTGCTGCTTCACCTCCTCCTGGGCCAGCCCCTGCAGGTGCTTGTTGGCCCCAATGCCCGCGTACGTGGCCTGGAAGGTCAGCATCAGCATCTGCAGCAGCTTCCCCAGGGGGTGCAGTGAGCTGCTCAGAGCCTGGCCAGTGCATAGGCAAAAAAGAGATGCTCAGGGCCCGCAGCTGAAGCCCAGCAGGCCCAGACAAGACGCCAAGGCTGCTCCCACTTCATATATGGGAACACTGAGGCTCTCTGCGGAGAGAGGGCCCATGACCTGGGGCAGTGAGAAGGTCCCCTCGCTGTGGCCCCCAGTTCCAGGGTCCTCACCTTCCTGAGGCACTGCTGCAGGGCCTTGGGCTCCCGGTGCTGCAGCACCTCCTCCAGGATGTCTTCCATTCTGCCTACACTGTCATCCGGTGGAGTCCTGAGGCACCATGTACACGTCTCTCAGCCATACCTGAGCCCGGGTGCAACCCCTCCAGGAAGCCTTCTGGGTATACCCGGGGGTGCATGGGCACACGCACACCTGGGCCTCACCTCTCAGAGCACAGGTCCTGCTCGGACTTGCGCAGCTCCTTCAAGCTCTGCATGTGGAAACCCAGCAGGGCTTCCTGCATGGCCCCTGGGCAGCCAGCACGCACGAAGTCCCGGAAGGGGCCGTAGACGCCCTGCCAGCGGCTCTCCACAGGGAAGGCGCCCAGGCCCAGCTGCCTGCGATGGAGGCAGTGGAGGGCAGGGGTGGAAATGGAGCTGCAGTGGGCAGGACCCTGTCCAGGTCCCTGGGGAGGTACAGATAGCCAGCCTGGCCCAGAGTCAGGGCCCAGGAAGGGTGGACAGATTGGGGACAGATGAGGCTACCGCCAACGCTCCAGGAGGAGAAGGGAGAGGCCGAGAAGGGAGAGAGAGAATCTACTACTTGGTGGGGAATAAAGGGCCACACGGAGACCTGGAAAGGTGACAGAAAGACCTGGGGAGCTGGAGGCCCAATCCAGAGAGCATGGTTTTGGCCTAAGAGAGACCAGTGCCCAGAAGTCCTGAATCCCCCTGTCATGAGACCCCGCTTTCCCTCCCACCACACCTGGTGCCTTCCTGAGCTCGATCCTGTCTTGCCCAACAAGCCTGGGCGTCTGGCTGTGTGTGTGTGTGTGTGTCTAACGGAGCACTGCCTGCCCATGACACTCTCACAGATTTTCCCATACCTGCACCCCACCGGCATGGGTCATGCCCCTAAGGTGTGCCATCCATGCTCAGCTCCTACTGTCAGGGAGAAGCATGCAGAGACAATGGGTCAAGAAGTCAACTGTACCCCCTCCCCACGTCTGAAATGCTGGCTGGTACTGCACCCCGTTAGAACCACCACCCACACAGATGCCCTCATCAGTGCAAAGCCAAGTCTTCCTCTTCCACTTAGCAAGTTTCCTTCTTCACCTTGCCTGCCAGGGAACTCAGAGCTAGACTAATGCTCAATCATAACCATTATAAGGCCTATCTGCATCTCTCTTTCTTTTAGTCTCAACTCACTTTTCTATTTTATTCGTTTGTTTTGTCTTGAAAGCTGTCTTGTACCCTTCCTAGAAAAATAGCAGGGTCTAAGAGAAGCCTAAGTGTAATATTTTCCTTCAGTTTTGTGGCATGTGGAGTTATAGCCACATGGCCCTTGATTCTAAGTGTCCCTGACTTAAGAGTCATGTGTCCTGCGCTCTCTGAACTCGCCAAAGAGCTATGAGGAGGTTAGAAAAGCCCCTCTGATGAGACCTGAGTCCTTGGGGGTAGAAACAGACACAGAGACAACCCCAGACAGGCTCCGGGAAGCCCGGGCCAGACGGTGAGGCTCTCACCTCTTGCAGGTGCTGCTTGGGTCGGGCGGGAGGGCGGCTGTGTCCAGCACGCCCTGGGTGTGAAGTCCTTTCTGCACCCCAGTGACAAAGGAGCCCTGCAGGGTGAAGCCATTGGGGAAGGTGACCTTGCCCTGGAAGCCAGGAAAGGGAAACAGGGATGTCTGTCTACTGTCTGTCTGTCCAGGTTCCTTTCCATCCAATCATTATGGGCCTTACACCTGTCCATCCGACATCATAGAGGCAGGGACTGGTGGGTGACCTTCCCTCCATCCATTTAATCTGCCCACCCTGAGGGGCTCACAGTCCCTCACCCAGAGCTGTGCCCTTCCCCAGGGGATCATCTCTGAGGCAGGAGACAGGGAGGAAAATGGGGAAGAGGGACTCAGCTCAGTGGAGAGAACCACCACTGTGGGGCCGGGGCGGGCAGGGGACTGGGGAGGGCATGAGGCACTACTGACTCTGGGGAGGGGCAACTCTTTGCTGCATGGGGCTGTCACATTCCTAGCACTCCTGGTCTCCACCCATCAAATGCGGGTTATAACAAAACCAACATAGCGCCCACATTTCCACAGGCCCCATCAGGGACACAACTGCCTTCTGCTTGGTCAGCTTGGGCAGGAAAGACAGTCATTCCAGGGCCACCTGCCCAAGGCACTGATGATGGTGGTAGAGGGGGTAGATTCCCAACTAGGGGTCCTGTAGGGGACACAGCCAGGGGACCACCAGCACCCACTGTGCCAAAGCAAGCCCACCCGTCCTCTCTTAACTCCCACCTGGATCAAATCATATCTCTGCAGCAGGAGGGCCCCTGGGATGCGTGGAGATGGCAGAGGTCCCCCCTACCTTCTCCACCCACTGCCTGCACCCTTGGCCCTGGGTCCCAGGGGGTGGTTACAGACTCCAGTCCTGGCCTTGGCGGGGAGTGGAGTTGGCCCTCACCGTCCCCAGGAGGGTCAGGTCCCTGGTGAATGTGCCCTCATACAAAGAGTCGTCTTCAAAGAGGAGGATCCCTGGGCCCTGGAGAGGGAAGCCAGGAAGAGAAGAGATGGGTTCTAGAGGGCCAGGAGATGGGGGGAGGAAAGGGGCAAGTGGGCACTGACTCATGGGGAGCCCTGCTACACCTCCCAGGACTGTGCTGGGCGGGATGCCAGCCCTCGGCCCGCTGTGCACTGAGCATGAGCCCGTGGACCGCATCCCCCGCTACCCTGCCAACTCCCTGGGACGTGGCTCCTCCCCAGGGGCCCCTCTCAGGAAGCCTCCTGGGGAACCCGCCCTTCGCTCCTGTGGCTCAGGAAGCGCTGTGCTTTGCCGGAACCACCCCCACTTCCCTGTCACTGACTCCGGGAGGGGGGCCCGCGGAACTGATCAGATGCCCGTGCCGCACTGGCTGCCAGGAAGCTCAGAACCAAGCGGGATACAATTTCTCATCTTATTTCTGAACCAGTTCTGCGCCCATTCTCGTCTCTTCCTCCCGCGGTCCTTTCCAGAACCGAGCGTAGGGTAAACAAACAAGCCAACAGCGACAGCAGGGCCCACACTCCGCTGGGTGCCGAGGCCCCGGCAGGGCGCCGGTGAGGCAGGAGGTAAACGCTGGGTGCCCGGACTCAGCTGGGTTTGACTCTCAGCTCTGTCACCCAGTAGGATGTGACCATGGGCAAGTTCTCTGACCTCTCTGAGCCTCACGTTTGTAATTCATACACTAAGGACAATGACATGACCCAGAGGATACTGAGAGGATCCCACAAAATCATGCTGGGAGCCGAGTCCAGAGCTAGCCATCTGGTTAGGGGTCCATAAACGCTGGTTGTTAAGGCTGTGGCATCACCATGACCATGCACTTCATTCTTACTATTTCACTGAATAAATAGTTAACCTGAATTGCCGATGGGGAAACTGAGGCTAGCAGAGGCAGGGACTTAGCCAAGGCCAGGGTAGGTGGGTGGCAGAACTGGAATCCTGCCCAGGTTCTGGCTCCATCCAGTACCTAGGAACCCAGCTTCCCACCTCATCCACCCCTGACCAGCCTCAGCTCAGTTTCGGGGTCCCTAGAGCAGGGGGCTCCAGAATTCAGCCCGAGTGCAGGGAGAGGGTAGCTCAGGACACACAAGGGTCACCGACTCACCATCATCTTATCTGCCTGGAAGGTCCCCTGGTAGCAGACTCCTGCCTGGGTGACGATGATCCCTGGGCCATGGCGCTGGTCAGCCTTCCACATGCCGATGTAGCGCTCACCCCTGGGGGAGGAGGGAGGGTGGCCAGAGTTGAACGCGAATCGTCCTCATGCACCTTTCAGGGGGGTGGCGTGGGGAGGCAGATAAGGCGCAATGACATCTCCTGAATCCATTCAACTCAGACTCCGGGCAGGTGAAGTCAGGACCCCCAAGAGGGTGGAGGAGGGAGAGAGCCTGCCTGGGGAGGGCATCTTGGCAGGCTTCCTGGGGGAGGTGGCAGGAAGGACAGGAGTGGGGTGCCATTCACACACATGTAAGGCCATGGAGGTAGGAGTGTGCAACAGATATGTGGCGGTGTTCTGTGGTCTGTTAGGCTGAAGGGGTGTGCAGGGGTCACGGCAGGAATGGAGTCCAAGGCGAAGTCCCAAATGCCAGGCCAGGGACCCTGAGCTTTGCCTCACAGCCCAGAGACCCCAGAAGGGCTGTGACCCTTAGATGGGGCCAAACCAGAGGATCAGAAACTCCTTTTAGAAGTGCAAGGAGGGGCCAGAGTAGCTTCCTAAGCCCAGAGACAACTAAGGGAGTGGAGGGAAAGTGAAGGACTCACAGAGACTCTGGGGGACAAACATGGACTGACCACAAGCCTGTGCTCTGAGGCTGCTTGGTCTGTGAGGTTCCCCTCTCCCCACCAATCCTGGGGGTGGCCATGGAGTGCTCACCTGTCACCATCCTCCTGGATGCCGTAGCCACTCCTCTGGCCCCGCTTCCAGTGGCCCGTGTACTTGCAGGGATGAGGGGCCTGCAGGGTACTCTCAAGGACCCCAAAGCCGTGATGCAGGCCCTCCTGGAAGTAGCCCTTGTACACCCTGTCAGTGCCATACCTGGAGAGGGTCACCAACGCTGGTCCTGCCTCCCAGAGCTCGGCCCAGTGGCCATGCCTGCACCGTGAGCCCACCCACCATCAGGCCCAGAGTCACTTACTCACAGATGCCATAGCCACACATCCTGCCTTCCCGCCAGTGGCACTTGTAACAGTTAAACTTGTCCTCAGAGGCCTGGGGCACCAGGCAGATGCCAAAGCTGCCATTGTGGGTGGCGGGGAGGGAAGTCAGTACCAGGGCCACCACTCTGCCCCAAGACACCCCATCATACCCCCGCCATACCCCCTCCATGCCACCCAGGAGTGTCCCTGTCCCCAGTGGCTTTCTCAGGCAATGGGGCAAGTCTCACAGGTGCTTAGCCCATCCCTTTTTCCCAAGGGCCCCGCTCAGGGGCCCCCATCTTGCTCCCATTCCCCTGGGAGCTCCTTCTGGCCCTGGGCCACTCCCCCATGGCCCACCCTCCACAGGGCCTCAGTTTCCCTTTTGTACAAAGACAGGAATGGCCTCTAAGCTCCTGCTTGGGTTTGGGGACTTAAGATGGGGCCAGGCTGATGACACTGGCAGGGGCAAAAACCACTCCCCTGCCCACATACGCTCCCGCCTCAGCCCCAGCCTTACCCGTGCTCCAGGCCCTGGCAGAAACTGCCCACGTGATTCTGCCCGTTTGGCCACTTCAGGGATCCCCTGGAACACAGTCGAGATCCACAGGAATCAGGCCCACCAGACCCATCCTTCAACACACACAGATGTCCAGGCGGCCTGCCACCGACTCTCTCAGGGGCCTAGGTTCCCCTCGGACTGGCCTCTGCCCCACCCAGGCCTCTTCTCTGAGCTCTAGGACCCCAGAGGGGCTCTTAGCTCTTCTCTACTCCTGGCACATGTGCCCCAGCAGCCTCAAGGGGCACACTCACCAAATTCTGTAGGGAGAGTTCTGGAAACATCCAGGTTCCCTCTTCCCTTTGATCAACAGGAAGCTTGGAGCTAAACTCCAAGCTCAATTAGCCAAATACTAATCAGTGGGGTTCCTCCGCTCCTTTTCTGGCACGGCATTGTTTTTTTTGTCTTTTTTGTTCATGAGCTTCCTCAAGCCCTTTCCAGAAGGATCGGGGTATCAGAGCTAACAAATGCATGAGCTTGAGAGCCTAACCTTGGGGAGTCCCTTCTGCTTCCTGGGCCTTAGTTTTCCTGGCTGTAGCACAGGGTGGGGCCACATATTCTTCAAAAGCCTACCTGCCTGTGGGGTCAGGTGGACCTGAAATTGGCACCAGGGTCACCCTAGAACCTGCCCTGAGGCCCTGGGCAAGTCATGCCAGTGTTGGGCCTGTTTCTGTACCTACAAAATGGGTGACATCACTGCCCCTGAGCATTTTTGTAAGGACGGAAGATGGGATGTCCAAAAACCACCCCCACCACCCTATGATGCTACGTAGATCTGAGGACTATTCTCCCATCTCCTGAGAACAGAAGGGCAACTGCACAGCAGCCACCTGACGTCTGCCTCACGCTCTAGTGTCACCAACATCAAAACTTCATTTGGCACAGACCTACTATGGGCGAGGCCCTGTCCACGAGGACTGAAGAGAAACTCTGGGGGACAAACAGAATTGACCACGGAAATAAGAGCCTTTGGTTCATGCCCCGAGGCAATGAAGTCCATGTGGGTCCTGTCTGCCCCGCTGACCCCCAGGAAGAGCCCCGGTCACTCACTTGCCATGGGGCCTGCCCTGGCACCACTCGCCCTCGTAGGTGGCCTGGCAGAGCCGACCCTCTGCCAGGAAGGTGTACGCTCCCGTGGAGCGGCAGCTAGGGGTCTTGGCATGCTCCAGGCCCATCCCCAGCACCGGGAAGTCTTTTTTCCCACGCAGGGCCTGACACACAGCCTGGGTAACCTTGTACCACCACATCACCTGATGGGAGAGAGGAAACACAAGACAGGTTACTGCTGCGGGAGGCAGCCCCGCTAGGAAGCCCTTCTGGGGTGACCCCAGTATGACCCTCTCCACCTCCCACCTCCAATCCCTCGACCACTTGGAGGAGTCTCCAACTGCCCAAGCTGCTCCCTAGGGTCCGCCATCCACACCTGAGCCCCGGTCTGCAGTTCCAGGGCCTGCCCAGGGGGGCAGACAAAACCACCAGCAGGGATCAACACAGGCCCCCATGTAGCTCCACAGAGGAAAATGCCCGCCTCTATGGCATTCTGACACTTGACCCCAGGCTGACCGCTGACTTACTTTGACCATGACCCCAGAGGACTGACACACCCATGGAGCCTCCAGGGTTGTATACTTGTGCACCATCCCCCCACCCCCGTCTCCTTTTCTCACTTCCTTCACCCACCCCCCAATTCATAGATCACCCACACTCACCTGGTCCTGGGGGTCCCTGGAGCAGAAAAAGAACTCTTCCTCAGGTGTAAGGAGGCGAAACGTGCACCTAGACAGATGAAAGTGATGAATAGGCCCCAGTTCTGTGCAGGAGGGTGTTGGGGGGCCCCAGTCAGAGCGTTAGGGTGCAGGCAGGTTTCGTAGGGTAGAGGGAGGGGAGGCCTGGGGTGTCATTGGGGGAGGCTGCTCACTCGTCCTGCTCAGGGTCGACCCATATGAGCTTCAGATCAAAGGTGTGGACACTGTGGCCCTGGAAGAAGACAGGGCACAGGTGTTGTCCAGAGCCCAGGCCAGACGCTCACATCATCTTCTGGCCTGGCCTGGCCCCGAGCACCGGCCTGCTGGCATGCCCCTGATGTCCCCGGCTGCGCGGTCCAACATGCCCAGCACGGAGCCCCTCACTGTCCCTTCCTGTTCCCCTCCTCCAGGGCAGCTCTTCCAGCTCCCCTCCCACCAAGGGCCTGGCCGGGAACCCGGGACCGGCCTCCCACCCCTCAATCCTGCCCCATCACAGCCACCAGAATGCTCTTCTGGAAATGCAGTCGGACCCCTCACCCCTGCTGGAAACCTCTCTATGGATCCTGCTGCCTGGGGAACGGGGACCTCACTCCCACTTGCCTGTCTTTTTCCCACTCCTTTCTCAACCAGACCCCAGGCCCCCACTGTGGCCCCCAGACCTCTGGCCTGCCCCATCCAACCTGCAGAAGGGCAAGGACATCATCAAAGAGCAGCACACGGTCCACCGGCAGTGGGGTGACAGTCACCGGGACGTCCTGGCTGTCTTGCAGGAGTCGGCGAGCAGGGGTGCAGAGTGCAACCTGGTGAAGTGTGGGGGGAGGCGTAGGGCTTGGGCACCCATCCTGGATGCACCAGCCACTCCACTGCCTGTGTCCGCCCCCACCCCCCTCACCTCCTGGAGGCCCTGGGATCAGTGATGGACACTCGAGGACAGTGACAGGGCCCTGAGGTCCGGAAGGTCATTCACAGCCACTCCCAACAGGGCAGCACGTCTCCTGAATCATCACTTTCTCTTCCCCAAACCACCTGCAGCCGGGGCCTCCCCTGAGCCCCTATCAGCTCTCACCTGGGGCTCTGCAGTGCCCGCTTCCCTCTGGCAATTCCTGTCCCCACTAACCCATTCTCCTGACTCTCTATCTTGGGCCCCAAGCCTGTCACACCCTCTCAGGGCACAGTGACGTGTCCCCGCTACAGGGACAGTACATGCTACAGTGGACAGGAAAGTAGGGATGCAATGATTTGGTGACATCCCGGGGGAGAGGGTCAGTTCTGCTCAATGCTCTTGCCCAGAGCCAGCTCTCGGTCCAGCCCAGGGGGTACTCAGCAAATGGGTGAAGATAGCTAGACAGAGGGACTGCACAGCCACCTGGTTCAGCCACCACCCCGCTTCCAGATGGGGAAGCTGAGGCACAGAGTACAGCAAGCAGCTCAAGCCACCCAGCAGGTCCCTGCCTGACGGAACCCCCTCCCCGACGGCCCTCAGGCCATGAACTCACCCTCAGCTTGCTGCTCAGGGTGTCCCAGAGGGCCTGTGTGGCCACGGCCTGGTCCAGCGCCTGCTTCATGAAGGACTGGAGGTCCTCAAAGCAGGTGGTTGCGTGCACCACCAGCTCCCGGGCAGGGTCACTCTACAGGGACAGAGCAGCCAGGGCAGGGGGTTTATCAGAGCCTGCCCCCAGCCGGTGAGGGCTGCCCCAGCCCTGGCCTGCGTCTAAGCCCAAGTTCACCCCTCCATGCACCAGCTCCTCCTCCAGGGAGCAGCCAGCACGCAGTCTCACAGGGAATCAGGACCATCCCCTGACTCCCCGAGCGGGGCCTGGGCCCTGGGCCCCGGGCCCTCACACCCAGTATATGAATCCACATCTGCTCCCTGGGTCTCTGCCAGCTCCACCAAGGCAAGGCCAAGAAACTCAGACACCCTGGGACAAAAACATGTCCCTTCAGAACACAGCCATGTCCCCAAAGCCAGGCTGGGTCCTTCTCAAACCTATTGAGGACCACGCAGCTTGTATAGTTCCTCAGTGAGGCAAGTGTCCTGAGCCAGGGCCCTGTGTCTCCCCACCCTCGGCCTGGTGAGCAGTGCCTGGCCCCCCTGCCACTTGCCTCCTCGATGGTGTCCCCAAGGCTCGGCAGGAGGAACATGTAGTGCTGCACGTGATTGGTAAGAGGCTGGCGGAGGGCCTGGGCCAGCGAGGTGCCCACCTTGCCATGGGTGCTCAAACCCCACAGGATCTTCCGCAGAGCCTTCAGCTGGCCCGGCCAGTAGTCTCTGAGCAGAGGGAGGGCCACATGCCACTGTCACTCCCTTCCATCCCAGCACCCACCACTATCGCCTCTCTGCCCTGGCAAATGCCCCCAGTTCCCAGTGCCCATCCCAGACCCCACACTTCTCTCCTAACAGGTAAATGCAGAGCCTGAGTGGCCCTTTCACAGATTTAGCAGCAATATCTCAATGTTTCAGTGCATTAGTGATTATAATCATCCACTCCAAGGAGAAGTGTCCCCTTCCCTGCCCCAGGGTCACCACTGGCTAGTGGATTCCTGGAGGCTGCTCACTGGGTTAGCTTCCCTCCTCCCATGTATATCAGTGAGGAACTGTCAGAGCCAGGAGTGCTCAGGATGAGTCACCGGCGTGACACTCTCTCCTCCGGGATGGGGCTTCCCCAGCCCTGCCCTCCAGACACCCCCACCCAAAGGCCCACTGCAGCCCCCATGCTCACCTCCTCCACTTGGCTGCCTTCTCAAAGGCCTGTACCACCACGCAGCTTGTATAGGACTCGATATACCTACAAGCAGCACAGGAGCACCCTGCAGGCCCAGTCCCCACTCCAGACTCAAGCCCCTGCCTTCTGGGTCCCCAGATCCCACTCACTGCTGCCCTGAGGGGCCTAGACAGTGGCCTGGTTCTAGGCACAGGTGACCTCCAGTCCTGACTGACCCAACAAGACAATTCTAACTCACAAAATCTTTCTTCCCTAGGAGGCCCCAAGGCTCAGGTCCAGGGTATCTGAGCCTGCGCCAGGCTAATGCCCACACCCACTGAAACCAACCCCCTGTGAGCCCCATCCCAGGCTCAACCCAAACTTGTGCCCAAGCCCTGACCCAGGTAAGCCTGGTGCCAGGTGGCACCCTAACACCCCCTCCTCGCTGTCTTACTCCATGTAGACCTGCAGGACATGATTGGTATCACGCAGCAGCAGCAGAGACTCTAGTCCAACGGTGTCTGGGTGGCGCAGCCTCTCCTCTAGTGAGCACAGGCTCTCCTCCGTCACCTCCCAGAGCTGCTGGGAGCTCTGGTGCAGCTGCTGCAGGAGCCGCAGGCACTCTCTGCCCTGGGGGTCCGAGGGCTCTGGGGCAGGGCAGGGGCACAACCACACTGTGAGGGGGGACAGGGCTGCTCCACCTTCCAAGGAGCTCTCAGGGGCCCGGGGCGGCGGGGACACCTGTGGGCTAGCAGCACGCCACAGCCCTGGAGCTGCAGCCAGGGTCCTGCCTCCCTGGGTTCCTTGGGACAGGATTGGGAGTCGATGTGCCCCCTTGAGCTCAGCAGGGGATGAGCAGGCTGGAGCGGCGAGCAGCACCCTGAAGCATAAATACAGGCACACATCTGCCTCCTCACCAAACAGGGACAGCACCAATGACCTGGGGGCACCAGGTACACTAATTCCCCAAGTCTTCCTGGGGCCCTGCAGTCCCTGCCACTCATAGTGCATGGACACAGCCCCTGAGAAGGCACCTGCCCAGGTCACTTCACAAGTGAGACCCAAGCTGGAGGTAACACCTGCCTCCCCGCCATGCCCTGGGGGACAGCCAAATGAGAATTCAGCTAGAGCATCCAGGCCTGTGCCCCGGAAGAGGTGGAAGTCCGTCTCTAGACACAGCCGGTCTGAACCAGAAGGAGGTTCATGGCCAGCCCTTCAGGGTCACTCTGAGAAAGGAACAGCCAGCAACTGGGGGCCAGAACCCCAGTTCCACCAGAAGCTGCAGCTCAGAGGGTCCAACAAGGTACAACCCCTGTCCCTGTGTCCCCACCCTCCCCACGGGAGAATCGAGACTCACTAGCTTCGACCAGGGGCTGGAGGATAAGGCTGTTGATTCGGGCAAGGGTGGCCGAGAAGACCTCCTCTAGGCGCTTCAGGGACTCCTCGGGGCTGCACATGGCCAGTGTGCCGGCCTCAGGGCCTGTGAACGGGGCACAGATCAGAGACAGCACTGGGGGCAGCAGGGGCAGTGCCTGTCCTCTCGCGCGTGTGCCAGAAGCAAGGCCTATGACCATCCCACATCAGAATGGAGCAATGAACCTGGGTCACCTCAAAGAGAAATTCCCACACTGGCCACTGACCCCTGCCCTACTCTCCAGCTGGGCCCAGCTGAAGGGAGCCTGACGGAGCGGGCAGCAGGACTCAGGACTGCCAAAGGAAGTGTCCCTGGCCCGCTCACTCCTGGGCTCCAACACTCACCCTGGCTCCCAGGGCTCAGAGAGACATCTAGCGATGCTCTGGCCTAGCCCTCTCTCCACTGAGTCTCTGGGAACAAGGACATGCTGTCAGAGGAGCCCAGCCTTTCTCAAGGCCATGGCTGACCCTGCTAAACGGGTCCTACTCAAGACATGGGTGAAGGCAGGCGGACTCCAGCCTCTTGACTTCCTGACCTAGAGCAAGGGACCCTCCAAGCAGGAAGGGGTCACCTGGGAATGTGGCCTCCTGACTAGAGGAAGGGGTAGCAGGGGCCTGGGGCCCAAACCAGCCCCATAGCCAGGCCACAGTCTCCAAGTGGACACAGACCCTCTCTCACCAGACTTGGTGCCCTCACCTGGCAAAGGGGATCATATACTCAGCTCTGCCCCTCCCTGGCACGGACACTCTGAGGCTCTGCAGTTAGCTGACCTGGGTAAGGCAAGAGACATGATTGAGGAAGTCAGTGATGGGCAGGCGACACAGGCAGACCCAAGCAGCCAGGGGTCTCATCTTGCCCCATCCAGCCACAAGGAGCCTACAATGCCCAGGACATCAGTTCTGCGGGGGAGTGGGACAGGTGCCTCAGAACTGTGGCCAAGAGCCCAGGCATTCCCGCCCCACCTTTCCTGCTGCTGCTTCAGGAGGGTGAGGCCTTGAGAAAGAGAGAGGCAGGAAGGGGAAGTGACTAGACGCCCAGCTGCAGCCTTATCTCGCTGCCAGCCCCTGCAGCACCCAGGCCCCCGGGGGTGGGGGGCAAGTAGTTCCAGGTCAGCTCAGGCAGATCAGGAGAGGCCAGCCAAGGGGTCAGGGGTGCAACAAGTGTGGTGGATCCACCTGACCCTCACACATATCTCCAGAAACTGATGGAGTGGAAAGGTCCTTTGGGGGGTGACCTCTCTACCCTCAGCTGGCAGGCAGCTGGGGTCTGAGCTGGGAGGTGAGGACAATGGCTGAAGGTGGAGGAAGGAGGGTGCAACCAGGATGGGAGGTACAAACTGGGAACCAGATCAGGGTGAGCGAGGACCTACAGAAAATACTCACTGCAGGGAGATCTTGAGCACCAGTACTCCCTCCCCACACACTCACCTGGGAGCCAGGCAGCACCACCCACACCAATGCCACACTCAGGAGACTGAGCCGTCTGCTGCTCTCTCTCTGCAGCTGGTGGCTGCTCTCCTATCCTGGAGCTATGGCCCATACCCCAGCTGCTCCCACAAGACCCCCTGTGGCCCCCTACCCAGCTGTTCAGCCCTGGCCATGCCCCAGCTTATCCATAGCCTTGCTCCTCTCTGGGCCTCAGTCACATCCTATGAAATGGGGGTCCAACTAGATCAGAGCTTTTCAAATACTCAGTCCTCCTGGTGGAGGGGAGTGGCTCTGGGTTTGGGGACCTGGTCCTCAGCCTTGCTCACCTCTTAGAGCTGCCTAGGGCCCCTCGGGATGAGTCTTACAGACCTGGTTTGCAGTCACTACTCTGGGGGCCTTCCAAGTCTGTGGCCCCAAAGGGATCTCTAACCCTAGGAAACTGAGTCACGCTGTCTGGAGGAAAGGCCAGAAGCTGAGCATGGCTGGTGGGTGGGGGGTGGGAGAAGGCTGCAGTTGAGGCTGGGGGTCTGGTCTGGTGGCCCCCAGGTCTGGAAGCGTTGGGCTTCATCCTGGAGGTGACGAAGAAAGTGTGAGGGCAGGGGGGAGGCCAGGCATGAGTATGTATGAGCGATGTGTTCACGGGGG